GGAGCTCCGCTGGCTGACCTTCTTGCTCACAGACTTAGGTGAGCGGCCTAGCTCTGCCCTGGACCTGTATGTTGACAACAGGGCCATGATTCTCCTGTGTCAGGAGCCTCGGCTTGAGGGCAGAGCGAAGCATATCCAGCTGCGGTACTTCCTCCTGCGCGAGCTACAGCAGCATCGCCAGGCCCGTGTAGTTCACTTGGCCTCCGGTGCCAACACAGTTGATATCTTTACTAAGGCGCTTGCGCCTAAAGATCATCAGCGGCACTGTGTTCAGCTCGGTCTTGTTCCTGTAGCTACTCACTTGTTAGGACCCTAATGGTGTACTCTCTACTATTTATATCTGTCTGACTGGCCTTGGTGGCCTTACTCCAGTGGCTGGACTAGTAGTGCCGCCCTGGCTTGCTTAGTCTTGTTTGTACTCTTGCTGACTGGTCTCTGGACCCCTGCCTCAGTGGTTGGACTAGTAGTGCCACCCTGAGCTGTGTGCTTCTTGCTTAGCTCACCCCTTATCTAGCCTAAGGGGTGTGTCAGCTTATACATATGTTCTATGTAGACGTTATAGGCTAGACTAGGTGTGTGCTTCTAGTGAGTACAACCCAACAGGTATATGTTCTAGGTTTCTCTTTCTAGTAAATCATTATCGTATTCTAACAAAAAAACCACTAGTACAAACGCACCCTGTACCCTCCATTGTAGTTAATTCGTTACTCTGAGAGCCAAGCCATGCCAAGCAAGCAGGGTTCCCGTTAGCAGACGAAATCCGTCTGTTCATCTGAGAATCTGACTCACATTTTCCGTGTCATCTGATTTTTGACAACCATTAATTTTCCATCTGAACGACCATCTTGGTTATATATATTTGTATGAATTCTCAGACTAGGTGTAGGCAGTCGTCTGAATTTTCAGATAGCGTGTATATTTTCCGTCTGATATCGACACATCTGCCCAGTTCCCCACCCTCCCACCGGCCCATGTGCGCACTGGGCCACCTGTGCCATCCAGTCCTAGGAAACCGTCGCATGCACAACAAAGTCGTCGCGTGGCCTCTCATCACCGCTGTACATTTCTTATCAGATTTACAGCTGCCTGAGTCACATGCTGTTACCGATGCGTCGATATGTGCAAAACCTGGCTTGCTGGCAACACTAAGGCATGATTTGCATGCAGCATACTACCAGCACATTGCCTGCGCTGTAGGGAAGCCACCCTCGATGCCTGCCAGCGCGAGATGAGTTTCGTGCTAGATCAGGCACCGTCCCATGCAAGGTGCCGAGGCGTCCTTGCGTAACGGCAGTGCAAGGCTCTCGTCGTGGCGCCACATCTGTTCAGTCACCCTCTGGTTACAGTTTTTCTACACGAGATGCCTCCCCCCTGCCTCGTTCCTCCTAGTCGTCCTCTCAGCAATGTCGCAAGTGTAGTCTTGTATCTGCTCGACGAATAGGTCTCATGGCTGCTGCCGCTGGTTCCGCAAAGCCAGCGGTAGATTCCCCCGTCGAGGAGCATATAGTAGCCTTGCTCCCCAGGCTTTCAGGCATCGACCTTCTTACTGGTTGTGCTACCATTGTAGCGTCAGCACCAGCACACGCCGCATCAACTGTATCCACCCCACCGTCCCCTTTACCTCTGCTAGACACAGAACCGTGGATCACATTCGCGCCTGAGGGTACAGCGCCCCCCACGTCTGAGCGTCCTAGCAGCCCGTCAAGGTCTCTTAGCAGCCGGTCTGAGCCTCCTACTAGCCAGCCAGGGCGTTCTACCAGCCCGTCACCGCATGCCGCACCTGCCGTTTCCGTCGGCCCGTCCGCTCGCATCTCGGGAGGGCCCGTGCTTCCTGTGCGCAAGCCTGGAAGGGTGCGATACCAGCAGCGCAAGCTTACCTTCGGTAGGCCTGCCTTATCTGCCTCCACGTCCTCCGTACGCCTTGGCGAGCAGCGGGCTCATACTGATCCCGCGCCGTCCACACCGTGGACGACGAAGGTCCGTTTCCCTAACAGTCGCAGAGCTTCAGGCAAAGGCGGAAGAGCAGTGGACGCGCCATTTTCCGTGGCTCGTCATCTCTGAAACCTCCGAGGGGCGTCCGTGCATGAAGTGCACAGTCTGCATGGTGCACGGTGACGACCCCGACTACCAGTACGGGCGCAATGGAGAGGGCGGGATCAATATTCAAAAGCAGACTATGCGGAAGCATCAGCACAGCCAAAAGCACGAGGCGGCGATGGCGCGCAAGCTTCAACTTGACGGCAAGAAGGCAAAGTAGCGGTCCATCGTGGAGTTTGAAAATGGCGACGCGGAATCCAAGCGATTGAAGCGGCTGATGGCGATCGTCCACTTCATCTGCAAGTCGGACGCCCCAGTTCTCCTCTTCGATCATTTGTGCAGTCATGTGCAGCAAGGCACTTCCTGATCTGCCAGAGAAAGAACGTGGAACCTACCAAAGCGAGTAAGTGTTGTCAATCCTGCGGGCCGCCTTGTTTGTGCAGGGTTCTCATGATCTTTCTATATGCCACCGTTGCTTGTATTCCGGAGTCAGTCACGGAAAGTCTTGCTATTAAGCAGTGCTTTTACCTCTATGTGTGCAGGTATGGCTTCAACCAACTCATAGAGAACATGGTCGGCTACCTGCGCGCGAAGCAGCTGACCCACATCAAGGCGAGCCCATTTCTCGGCATCCAGCTTGATGAGAGCACCGACAGGCGGCGGGGCAAGCATATGATAGTGTATCTGACTTTCCTGCGCGATACGACGGTCGTGACTGAGTTCTTCGCTCACCTGACGGTCGAGAAGTGCGATGCCGCATCGCTTCAAGCCCGTCCTGCTGACACACCTGGAGGGACAAGGCGTCGACCTCAACCGCATATGTGGCATAAGCACTGATGGAGCGAGTGTGATGACGGGAGCCCAAAACGGGCTTGTCGCACGACTTCGCACTCGTATTCCTCACTCGTGTCATGCCACTGTATTGCTCATAGGTAAGTTGTGGGCCCACATCAGTTTTGCCTTATGGTTTTCTCTGCCCGGATTCTGACCAGCTTCATTTGCGATGTGTGCAGGGAAGCTCTCGCTGCCAAGGATGCTGCAGCAGAGTTCCCTGACTTGGGGATGGTTGACAAAGTTGTACGATCCTTGGCCGACATTCTCGGCTGGTCGATTGTCGTCCATTCCCGATTCAAAGAGCTGCAGGAGGTGGTCACCGAGACGAACCTCGAGATGCAAGGGATTCACAATATCCGTTGGTTGTCTCGGGGCGAGGCCATCCAGTGTCTGGTTGAGGTTTTCCCTGCAGCAGTGCTTCTCCTAAGGGAGTATGATTCTGCTATGTATGCACTCGTTGTAACCTTGAAGTTCCATTTTCTCTTGTATTTCCTTGCTGACGTTTTGAAGAAGCTCAACGCCCTCAATCTGAAGTTCCAGCAGCGGCAGGTGCGGGTACCATTTAACTGTTTCCAGCATTTTATAATTCTCTGTTTCTAATCCCGTACTCGCCCCTCCGCAGGTCGACGTCACCCAGGTGCTTAGGATGGTGGACAACACCATCGTGACGCCTGCGGGCTCGTTATGTCAACTACGGCACCTGCTTCGGCCCCGCAGAAGGAGATCTCTTCGAATTCCTGAACCTGGTAGCTACTGGAGCCGACATCACCATTAGCGGCGTGGACGCGAACGGCACCCCCGACGACTCACACGTACGAGCTACAGACTGCCGACATTGAAGGGCAACACACAGGCGGGAACATCGACTCACTGTAGGAGCTGGCGACGGCGGTGGTGCTGTCCATTATCAGCAAGCTCCAGGCGCGACTTTCTGACCTGGCGTCGTTGAACGGCACGCGACTGTTCAAGCAGGGTCTTTATCCCCGGACGGCGGCAAAGCGGGAGCGGAAGTTCGTGGCGTGGCTGCAGGCTCTCCGCAACCTCTGGAAGCGCGACTCCTCCGCTCCCGACACACTGCCTGGTGATTGTCGTATTTAAGCATGCATGTGGCTCAAGTCTTTCTCTGCCTTGTTCATGATGTGTATTTACTTCAACCCTGTCTACCATTTACTAAACACCCTCCTTTCTCCCGTGGCTCTTCTGTCCCCTGTCCTGAAGGTGTCCACTGGGGGAAGGCAAAAAAGGAGCTGAATAGCTTCACCACTATCATGTCTACTCACCAGGATGACCTCGACTTTCATGCAAGTTTGAAGAACATGCTCTCCACTCCCGACTGGAAGACGGCCTACCCGAATATTGTCAGCATTTGGAAGACGGTGCTGCCGTTGAGCACTGTCGAGTGGCGAGCGCGGCTTCAGCCGCCAGAACGTCATTAAGAGTTGGTTGCGCGGCAACCTGTGTGACGCGAAGCTCAGCGATCTGATGACCATGTCGCTCCTCGACTACGACATGGAGTGGGATGGCATGGTGGCGAAGTGGCGTGGGGTCAAGAAGAGGCGGCCCGCGAGGGAGGTAGTGATGGGGCAGGGTTCACGTTCAGCGAAGAGGCAGAAGCGGTCAGCGGCATTCAAGGCGGCAAGAACAGCAGCGAAGGTAGCAGCAGCAGCAGCACGACAGGCCGAGGCACTTGCAGCAGCAGAGGCGGCGCGGATGTTTGATGAGGATGGTGCAGCAGGCCCGGTATGGAAGATGAAGGGCAAGGGCAGAGCGATTTGCTAGAGTCTGATAGTGAGGAGGATGAGCAAGGATGCAGCAGTGGCAGTGAGTCTGAGTAGGGTAGGGTTAATGCTAGTTGGTTCTGCAGCGATATTGGTTGGAACTTGGAAGCTCTAGTGAGCTTGTAGGATGTTAGCAGCAAGCCTAAGTCATTGGTAGTGATAGAGTAGCTGCTGTAGGATGTTTGTTGGCTACAACTGTGGCTCGTAGGATGTTTCTTTCTAGAGCCCGTAGCTGCTGCTGTCGTAGGAGGAATCTAGTGTTGTCTCTGGAAGACATCTAAGTCAAAGCCTAGAGGATGAGCAGCTTAATTTTCAGGAGGCAAATTTCATCTGCAAACACAGATAAGGCTGTATACTTCATCTGAAATTTTAGACCAAGCCAAACAGCTCATATGATGGTCAGACAACTTTCGTACCCTGTCTGATTCTCAGACTGCCCTAAAAGTTAGCAGGAACTTTGCATGCAAGGCAGTAATGCAATAGGGCCTAAGCCTAATTGTCTCTCAGCATTAACGACTTGACCAGAGGTAGGGCTTGAGAAAATTCAGCAGGTGATGGCTTGAGCGTGACAACCTGCGGGCTAAGAGCGGCCCGGTTATGCTGCAGACGAGCTCTCACCGCTGTCTTGAGATGCCTTAAAGCGGGAGGGAGTAAGTGCCTCACAGCAGGAACGGCTTGGCAGGAGGGAAGGCTCAGAAGAGTGCGAGGGCTTGCGGGTGGCCACCTGAGGGCCAAGAGCAGCCCAGTGCTGGCAGGAGATGCGCCACACATAGCAGCAGCTCTAGCAGCAGAGGCCCACATAGCTCCCTCCCTTCCCTTCCTTACCCTCCCCTTCTAGCCTAGCAGCAGCTCTAGCAGTGGAGAGCCTGGCAAGCAGCTCTAAAGAAGGAACGGCTTGGCCGGAGGGAAGGCCTCAGCGAAGTTAGAAGAGAGTGAGGGCTTGAGAGTGACCACCTGCGGGCCGAGAGCCGCCCAGTGCTGCTGCAGACACGCCCTCACCGCCGCCTGCTCGTCCTGCAAACCTGTGAGACCTGGTGCGAAGGGGGAAAGGGGAAGGGGGAAGGGGGAAGGGGGAAGGGGGAAGGGGGGGGAAGGGGGAAGGGGGAAGGAGCAAGGGCTGAAAGTTCAGTTGCAAGGATCCGCAAAGCACACGCAAGAGCGGTCCAGTCTGGTGCATACATGCCTCCACATCCACTCCGTGCATCAGTGCCATTTGTCCCACTCTCACTTAGCTTATGAGACGATTCAAAGCACTCTAACGGCCTTCACCTGTTCCCTTACTCATCATCCACACCAGCCGCCTCCGAAGGTGATTTTTGCGTCGACTAAAAAACCACCGACTCAAAGCACTCTAGCCAGCCTTCAGCTGTTCCCCTTATTCATCCTCCACACCAACCGCCTCCTCCAATACAATCTCCCCTTGTAACATAGCCGTCTCATAGTCACATAGCCGTCACATAGTCACATCACATAGCCGTCACATATTCACATCACATAGCCGTCACATAGTCAAATAATACGTAGCTCAGGCTCTGCCCGGTCTGGCAGCTAACCTAGCCCACGCAGCTCTTCTCGTCTACCTCCATCTCTAATAGTCTAGCGCCAGCTCTTCCCTGTACTCATCCTCCACGCCAGCCCCTCCTCCAATCTCCCCTAGTCCTGTAGCTAGCTCAGGCTCTGTCTGCTCTGGCAGCCAAATATCCCCACCCAGCTCTTCTCCTCTACCTCCATCTCTAATACTCTAGCTCCAGCTCGTCCCCGTACTCAGCCTCCACGTCAGCATCCGCCAATGCCATTCTCCCTAGCAAGTGACCTACCAGCCTTAAAGCATCCCGATTCTCACCTAGCTCGAGCTCGATCCCATACTCGTCCTCCACGTCAGCCTCCTCCTCCTCCATCGAGCCAATCATGGTCGCCGCTTCCGCATACCGCCTCATCAGCGCGGCCTCCAGCTCAGCATCGTCAAGATCCCCATCTAGGTCGATCTGGATTGGGGCAGGGGGAGAAGTAGAGCGATGTGACCACGTGTCACGGCGAGGTGCTTGCCTCATCAGCACGGCCTCCAGCTCGGCATCATCGAGATCCCCGTCCAGGTCGATCTGGATGGGGGAGAGGCAAGGCCAAGCCAAGAGACAATATGCGAAACGGGCCGTGTAGAGATGAGCGAGTGTAAGTGAGCCCGTGCTTGGCCACACATGGGCACTGCCTCATCAACGCTGCCTCCAGCTCAGCGTCGCCGAGATCCCAGTCCAGGTCGATCTGGGTACGATGGGGGAGGAGGAGAAGAAAGTGCATGCAAGAGCAGGAAACACCCACAAGGGGCAGCAGCGGACATGGAGATCCCCGTGTAGGTCGATCTAAACAGGATGGGGGAGGGCAGAAGGGTGAGCATGCATATATGGAAGGCAGCACCCGCGAGGCGCAATGGCCAAGGACACGCATAGCGCCTCATCAGCTCTGCTTCCAGGTCAGCGCCGCTGAGATTCTCGTCCCGGCATGGGAGTGGCCTGTGTGGTGCACATGCCTGAATTTGGGCATGCGTCTCCGGCACGGGAGTGGCATGTGTGATGCATTCGGATGTGTTTTGTTTTTGAGAATTCTCCCACCATTCCCGTGCCTGGACGAGAAACACAACAGATTCTTGTCCAGACACGGGAGCGGCGTGTGTGGTGCACATGCCTCAATGTGGCCATGCATCCCTCCCAGGCACGGGAGTGGCACGTGTGATGCAACCAAAAATCTTTTGGTGTCCAATCCATGTTATAGAGGTTTAGTTCTATCTCCCGCCACTTCGGAGAACGCATGCAAGAAGCAACAACCCCCTATCTCACCTCCTCCTCCTCATCCTCCTCCTCTTCTTCTTCTTCGTCATCGTCATCCCCCCATCTCCCCCTCCTCGCTCCCCTCCATGCTGCTCGCCTCCTCCTTCACCGCTTTCAGCCGCAGCATCGCTGCCATTGCTGCTGCCAGCACGACTGCTGGGAGCGACGCGCCTGTCTGCGCTGCTGCTGCTGCCGACTGCTGCACCAGGCAAGTCAGGGCGAGAACTGAAAGGGGCAAAAGGGTTGGTGGGGGGGCGGAAGTGGGGAAGGGAGAGTTTGGCTTGCCTGCTGTGCTCCTTGACCTCTTTCAGCCGCACCATCTCTGCCATCGCTGCTGCCAGCACCGCTGCTGGGAGGGACGCCCTGGTCTGCTTTGCTGCTGCTTCTGACTGCTGCACCAGGCATGAGAGGGCGAGAACAGCAACGGGCAATGGAGAAGGGGGGACAGGGGCGAGGGAAGGGGGGGGGAAGGGCCAACCCTCTTTCAACACTGCTGCTACTCCGTTTATATGGCTAGAAGTTCCCTCGAACCATGTGTTCCCTCTAACCATGTGTTCCCTCGAACCATGTGTTCCCTCGTACCATGTGTTCCCTCGTACCATGTGTTCCCTCGTACCATGTGTTCCCTCGTACCATGTGTTCCCTCGTACCATGTGTTCCCTCGTACCATGTGTTCCCTCGAACCATGTGTTCCCTCGTACCATGTGTTCCCTCGTACCATGTGTTCCCTCGTACCATGTGTTCCCTCGAACCATGTGTTCCCTCGTACCATGTGTTCCCTCGTACCATGTGTTCCCTCGTACCATGTGTTCCCTCGAACCATGTGTTCCCTCGTACCATGTGTTCCCTCGTACCATGTGTTCCCTCGTACCATGTGTTCCCTCGTACCATGTGTTCCTCGTACCATGTGTTCCCTCGTACCATGTGTTCGCTCGTACCATGTGTTCCCTCAAACCATGTGTTCCCTCGTACCATGTGTTCCCTCGTACCATGTGTTCCCTCGTACCATGTGTTCCCTCGAACCATGTGTTCCCTCGTACCATGTGTTCCCTCGTACCATGTGTTCCCTCGTACCATGTGTTCCCTCGTACCATGTGTTCCCTCGAACCATGTGTTCCCTCGTACCATGTGTTCCCTCGTACCATGTGTTCCCTCGTACCATGTGTTCCCTCGTACCATGTGTTCCCTCGTACCATGTGTTCCCTCGTACCATGTGTTCGCTCGTACCATGTGTTCCCTCAAACCATGTGTTCCCTCGTACCATGTGTTCCCTCGTACCATGTGTTCCCTCGTACCATGTGTTCCCTCGTACCATGTGTTCCCTCGTACCATGTGTTCCCTCGTACCATGTGTTCCCTCGAACCATGTGTTCCCTCGAACCATGTGTTCCCTCGAACCATGTGTTCCCTCGTACCATGTGTTCCCTCGTACCATGTGTTCTCTCCTTCTGCATGCAAGGCAGCTCTGACCATGGAAAATGTGACAAGCTGATTAAACGACCACGCACCTGTGAGCTTCAGCTCTGATTCCAAGACCAGCCCCGGCTCCGCGTGCAAGGCTAGAAGGCTCTCCACACCCCGCACCACCACTCCCAGCATCAATCCCCCCACCACTTGGGAGTCTGAGATCGAGTTGATTAAACAACCACCCACCTGTGGACTTGAGATCCGACTCCAAGAGCAACCCAGGTTCTGCTGCAAGGGTAGAAGTCTGTCCATGCACCTCACCACCGCCCCCAGCATCAACCCCTTCTCCGGGTAGTCGAAGTCTCAGCTCCAAAGTAAGGAGCTGACTAAACAACCACCCACCTGTGAGCTTCAGCTCTGATTCCAAGACCAGCCCAGGCTCTGCGTGCAAGGCTAGCAGGCTCTCCACGCACCGTACCACCACCCCCAGCATCAACCCCCCCTCCTCCCCTCCTCCCCCTTCTCCCCCTCTCCTTCCCCCGCCTCCTTCCCCCCAGCAGGAGCAGCAGGCGCGGGGGAGAGGAGGAGGGGGAAGACGGAGGCGGGGGAGGCGAGGAGGGAGGAGAAGAGGGAGAGGAGGAGGGGCTTGGCGATGTAGCGGATGGTGGAGAGGGAGGGGGAGGAGGAGAGGCGAGTCAGGGAGGCCTGCCATGGGGTGAGGGGAAGAGAGGAGAATGTGATGTGGGACACATGGTGAGTCACAATTGGGACAGACCATGGGGATTGAAGAGGGTGTTTTTTAGAATTCTCAAAAACACCCTGCAAAAGGTGAGTCACAATGGGACAGACCATGGGGATCGAAGAGGGTGTTCTTTAGAAGTATCGAAAACACACGGCATCGAAGAGGGTGTTTTTTAGAATTCTCAAAAACACCCTGCAAATGGTGAGTCACAAATGGGACAGACCATGGGGATCGAAGAGGGTGTTTTTGAGAATTCTCAATAACACCTTGCAAAATTAAGGGTGTTTTTGGGAATTCTAAGAAACACCCTGCAAATGGTGAGTCACAAATGGAACAGACCATGGGGATGGAAGAGGGAGAAGAGGAGGAGAGGTGAGTGAGGGAGGCTTACCAAGGAAGGGGGGGGGTGGAGGAGAGAGGGGTTGGTGGGAGGGAGGAAGAATGTGGGACACGTGGTGTGAGTGCGCTGCGCTGCGCTGCAAAGAACTGAATTCTGACGGTGGAAAGGAAGGGTTTAAGGCACCTCGAGAATCAAGGAGGGGGGAGACGGGGGAGAGGCGGGGAGGCTTGGCAATGTAGCGGACAGAAGAGACGGATGAGGAGGAGGGGAGTCGAGTAAGACGGGCCTCCCGGAGGGGGGATGGGACGGAAGGTGGGACACATGGTGAGTAAAATCGTGCTAGATGGTGCACAGGGAGGGTGCTGGGGTACCTCGAAACGGGACGAGGGAGGAGATAAGGTAGATGGGGAGGGGGGAGAGTGAGGGGGGTTTGGGGAAGCTGCAACTGAGAGGGGCCTGGGGAAGGTGCAACTGAGGGGGCCTGGGGAAGGTGCAACTGAGGGAGGGCAGGTGAAAATGATGTCCGCTCGTTCTCTTTTCCTCAGCAAACCTCCCAGCCAGGGCAGCGGCAACGGGGGCCCATTCAGCGCCACGGCAGCAGCATTCAGCAGCATGTGGGAGTGTGGGGTGGTCGGGTGGGGTGGGGTGGGGTGGGGTGGGGTGGGGTGGTGTGCCATCTCCTTATCTCTGTCTCACCTCTGCAAATCTCCCTGCCAGGGCAGCAGCAACAGGCCCCCCATTGAGCGCCACGGCAGCAGCGTTCAGCAGCATGTGGGAGTGCCTGGATGCGCGCCACGTGGCAGCAGGAGAGCCGTCGGAGAGCGCAGACGAGACGAAGCACGCGATGCCTTCGAGGATGGAGCGGGGCGGCACGGGTGGCAGAGGAGGCGGCGGAGGGGCCTTGGAAATGAAGTCTGGCAGCGGCGTCCGGCTCTGGTATGGTATGGGTTCAAACATTCAATTGCATGGAACAGCAGGCGCAGAGGGAAAGGACAGGAAAAGAAAGTGACGGAAACCAATATATAGTAAAAAAAAAATCTACAATCAGGCGGCAGCACGGGCAGGAGAGGAGGCGGCGGAGGGGCCTTGCAAATGAAGTCTGGGAGGGGCATAAGGCTGTTGAAAAGGGTTTGAATGAATGAAGGGGAAGCAGGCACCCATAAGAAAGGGAGAGGGAGGGAGAGAGCATGAGTGATATGCTCAAGAGCCGTATGACCTCCTTGAGGCGCACGAAAGAAAGCTTTTGAGTCGACTCAAAGGGAGGGAGAGAGCATGAGTGATATGCTCAAGAGCCATATGACCTCCTTGAGGCGCACACAAGAAAGCTTTTGAGTCGACTCAAAGGGAGGGAGAGAGCATGAGTGATATGCTCAAGAGCCGTTTTGTTGTTGAGTATCTGTTTTAGGCTTTTATCTGGGATGTAGTCAACTTAGTACATTTCTCTATTATGTGTAATGTGTTACATTATATTAGGTGTAGACATTAGTGGTTAGGTTATATTAGGAATAGGGTGCCCCCCAAGTGATTTTATCAAAGGCTAGGCACCCCAAAATCCGAATTGGGGTACCTCACCACGCATCCCAACATTTGGGATGCGGCTCCAACCTGGACCCACGTTTCTCAACCATGAAAACGCGGCTCCAGCTTGTGGAACCACGAATCCAACTTGTGGAATCGCGGTTCCACTAGTGGGGGCGCTTCCAGGCCCACTTTGAGGGTTCCTCACGTCCCCACCTTGACTGTGGGCGACTTGAGCACCCAATTGGGCACCCCAAGTCTCTTGGGTGCCATTCTCCTCACCTGGACCAGCCCAAGTCGCCCACACTTCTCCATCTCTCTCTTCACCACAATCTGGGCCTACTTAGCCCAATATCTTTGTCATCTTTATTTACCCTTTTGTCTTACACTTTCTGGGACTCCTCTTGGAACATATCTTTACCATCTCCAACTTGTGCATCTTCCAGCTATGCACATCGAGTCTACTTTTCTACATGGTAATCAGAGCTATAGCTGAGCCTCTATTGGTCAGCCCATCTGCATCTGAGTAGATTTTTCAACCGTAAATATTTCTATAACGTTCCTCCTACCCTTGGCAACCTTTTCTTTGACTTCCAGCTAAGGCCATCGCGTAAATTTTTTTGTGGACGTCCTCTTTTGGGGCTATGGCCACTGTGGACAGCCATTTGGGACAACTCACTTTACCCTCCCTCCTCCCCGATGGCTCCAACTTCAACCACTGGAAGCGGATGGTGGTTCTAACCTTTCAACTCGTCGGCATCGTTGGTGCCCTTGGCGACTCCACCATCACCTCTTCGTCCACCGGTCCTAGTGCTTCTTCAACGGCTGACGCACCGGCCACTCCATCCAACGAGGCTCGTCGGCCCCCTACTACCCCTACCATTGCAGCAGCTGAGCAAGAACAGCGGGCCTTGCTGTACCTTCTCTCCACACTTCCAACCCAGCTCTCCATGTCTGTTTCTCCAACCGAGACTGCTGCCGGGTTGTGGGCTCTTCTTAACAAGAAGTTTGCCAAAACTGGCAATCAAGCTCAATTTGGTCTGCTGCGACAACTCTTCTCTGTCCGCATGGATCCCGGCCAGTCCGTCCATGCCTACTTTGACCACGTTCGTGGCCTCGATCTGCAACTGCAAACCAGCGGATATAGTCTTCCCTCTTGGGTGACTATCACCTCTATCCTTCTCGGTCTTCACCGGTCCTATGACACCCTTACCGAGACTCTTTGCTCTGTCCGAGAAATCAAAGATATGACCCTTGAGTGGCTTGAGGGACGCCTTGTGGATGCTGAATGGGACCGTGCTGCCAAGTAATCTTCAATCCCGGCTGATGGTGCTTATTGCAAGGCCGCTGGTCATGCCATCACCAACTGCCCACAACTCGAGAAGAAGAAACGGCGACAGCAATAGCAGCAGCCGCAGCAGCAGCAGCAGCCGCCGCAGCAGCAGCAGCCGCACCTGCACCAACAGCAGCACCACCAGCCATACCAACAGCAGCTCCAGCAGTTCAACTTCCGTTCTCCCACATCCAGCTCGCCCAACAAGGCATCCACGCACTCCCCTCTGCCTTATTCTGCCCACTCTGCCCAGCCCATTCTCCCCTCTCCTCGCTACGACCCCACTTCCCCGACACCTGCCACTCCTCCTTTGTCCACGGCATTGATGTCTTCTCCACTTGACCCTCGCTATGCTGATGTCACTACCGCTCACTTACTCCCTGCCTCTTGGCTGCCGTCGCTCCCATTCCTTCCCTCGCTCTTTGTGCTCCTCTCCCTCCTGCTCTTCCTTTTCTCCATTATGTTTCAGCGCCCTCTAGCCTCCGCCTTCACCAGCTCCCATTCCTCCTCCCCCTCCTCCTGGCTCCTTGACTCCGGCGCTTCATCCCATCTATGCAATAATCCTCATATATTCTCTTCCCTCCACCGGCCGTCCCCTGGTAGTGGCATTCGATTTGGCGGCGGTGAACAGTATCTTGCCCAAGGCATTGGTGATATCATCCTCTATGCTCATCACGAGAACCATACGCATCCTGTTACCCTCCACGATGTCCTCTATATTCCTCAAACCATTCACAACATCATCTCAGTGCGCAAGCTCAAGGAAGAGGGTCTCACCACCCACTTTCCCCTTCATGCTCCAGCCCAACTGTTCAAGGGGTCCACCCTTCTTGCTGTTGCCTACGAGGATATGAAGTTGTTTTTCATTTCTCTCAGCCCTGCTGCCTTAACCCCGCAAGCTACGGCTTCTACGGTGTCGACCCCGTTTCCACTTTGTTCCAGCATCGTGTACTGCTGCCGCTACTCTCCTTTGGCATCGACGCTTTGGGCATCTCAACGGCCCCAGCTTGCAGCAACTTCACTCTGAACGGATGGTCAGCGGTCTCCAACTCCAGGGTTCCCTCCCTTCCAATTGCACTTCGTGCCTTCGTGGGAAGCAGACTCGCCAACCGTTCCCACCTTCCATCTCCTCCTCCTCTGCCCCGCTTGACCTCGTTCACACGGATGTCGCTGGCCCCTTTCCCATTGGCACCACCTTTGGCGGCGCCACCTATATCCTCACCTTCATTGACGACTTCAGCCGCTTTACCACCATCTACCTCCTCAAATCGCGCTCTGCCGTCCTCTCCACCTTTCAGCGCTATCTCGCTACTGTTGAACGCCAACGTAACACGCGCCTCAAGGCGCTGCAATCAGATGGTGCCCCGGAGTATCTTTCCAAAGCTTTTCAGACTTTCCTCGATTCGCATGGCATCACCCGGCGGGTTTCAGCCCCATATACTCCGCAGCAAAATGGCGTCGCGGAGCGGCTGAACCGCACCATCCTGGACATGGTGCGGTGCATGCTACATGATAGCGGCCTTCCTCGTGGTTGGTGGGGAGAAGCGGCCCTCACCGCTGCCTACATTCGGAATCACTCTCCTTCCCGTTCGCTCCCTCGTTCCGTCACCCCTATGGAGCTGTGGACCGGTCAGCGGCCGGATGTCACGCACTTTCGCGTGTTTGGCTGCTCCGTTTCTGTGCTTCTACCTTCTCTTCAGCAGCCTTCTAAATTACATGACCGTAGCGCCGCGGGCGTCTTACTTGGCTACGGAGTCCTTGACGGTTACAAAGCATATCGCATTTACGTCCCTTCCCTTCGCCGCGTGGTCTACTCCCGCGATGTCACTTTCCTTGAAACATCCCCTTCACCACCTCCTTCTCCGCAACCGTCACCACCCCCACCTTCCGCCCCCACTCCCACCACCATATCTTTTCCCCTTCACCCGTCTTCCCAGCCTACCACTTCCATCACCCCTGCCACCTCGCACCCGCCTCCTCCACCTCCCGGAGCTATCTCTCCCACTTCCACTCCCGCTGCATCTCCCTTCCCCACCCTCCCCACCCCATCCCTTCAGCCTTACACGCTTCCATCCTTCCTCCAGCCCGCCTCTCTACCTTCTTCCTCACCCCTTCCCTTTCCCTATCTTCCATCACCAGACGCCCAAGACTTTCACCTCACCTTTCCCGATCCTTCCTCTCGAACCATCCTTGCTGAAGATCGCGCGTCCACCCATTTCCTTCACGATTTTGCACACATAGCCCTTCATTCCCACTACGAGCCCGCTACCATCATAGCCGCCCGTTATTGCCCTGCTGCTCCCCACTGGCTAGCCGCTGCTGATGCCGAAATCGCTGCTCTCCTCGCCAACAACACTTACAGCATTGTGCCCACGCCACCCGGCTGCACCCCCATACCTTGCAAGTGGGTGTTCAAGGTCAAAGAAAACCCAAATGGGTCCATTGAGCGTTATAAGGCTCGCTTGGTGGTCAAAGGCTTCAAGCAACGTGAAGGCATCGACTACACGGAGACTTTTGCACCTACCATTCGCTTTGCCACGCTCCGCTTGCTCCTCACCCTTGCTGCCGCTCTTGATCTTGAGATGCATCAGCTCGACATCTCCAATGCCTTTCTCAACGGCGATCTTGACGAGCTCATCTACATGACTCAACCCCCCGGCTTCGAGCTCACTGCTCCTGATGGCTCTCCTCAAGTTTGTTTGCTGCACAAGCCCCTATATGACCTCAAACAAGCGCCCCGCTGCTGGTACAAAAAGCTGAAAGAGGAGCTTCTCTCCTTTGGCCTTCACACCTCCGACGCTGACCCTGGCCTCTTCATCACCGCCTCCTCTTCACCTCTCCTCCCTCATCCATCCCACTTCTTCGTCCTTGTCTACGTGGACGACCTCATCATCCTATCTACCACTCTTGCACCCCTTACCACCTTCAAGACGTCTCTGGCCAGTCGCTTTAAACTCCGTGACCTCGGCCCCCTCACCTATTACCTCGGCCTCCACCTAGACCGCGACCGCTCTTCCCGCACTCTCCATGCCCACCAGTCCAAATTTATTGCTGCGCTCCTATCCACCTATTCGCTCTCCCATTCCAACCCCAGCCATACCCCCATGGACTCTAAGCTCCTCCTCCCTTCCCACCCCTCTTCACCGCCATCTCAAACCGTCCCATATCCCTCCTTGGTTGGCTCTCTCATGTACGCCATGGTCGCTACTCGTCCTGACATCGCCCACTCCACTGGCCTTCTCTCCCGTCACCTCCACTCATGGTCCGACCCTCATTGGCTGGCTGCCAAACGTGCTCTCCGCTACCTCAAGGGAACATCTTCCCATGGTTTACTGCTTGGTGGCAATCCCTCCTCCCTCCACCTCATCGGCTACTGTGATGCTTCATGGGCCTCCGAAAGTGAGGATCGCCGTTCCCTCACTACCTATCTCTTTTTTCTTGGTCCTTCCCTCATCTCCTGGCAATCCAAGAGGCAATGTGTGGTGGCCACGTCCTCTTGTGAGGCCGAATACTATGCGCTTGGTGCGGCAGCCCATGAAGCTCTTTGGCTCCGCACTCTCCTCACCTCCCTTGGACTTCCCCCCGCTGGTCCCACCCCTTTGATCTGTGACAACACAAGCGCCATTGTCTTGGCCAAGGACGCTGGTGTCTTCCATGCCCGTGCCAAGCACATTGACATCCGACATCATTTCCTCCGTGATCACGTTCACAAGGGCCATATCTCACTGCACTATGTGCCTACTCATGACAACCTTGCTGATCTCGGTACCAAGCCTCTTTCCCGTGACACTTTTCAGCGTCTCCGGTCCTGCATTGGCCTACGCCCTGCCTCTTCTTCCCGAGACTCTCCCTTGGTGTCACCCTAAGGGGGGGTGTTGTTGAGTATCTGTTTTAGGCTTTTATCTGGGATGTAGTCAACTTAGTACATTTCTCTATTATGTGTAATGTGTTACATTATATTAGGTGTAGACATTAGTGGTTAGCTTATATTAGGAATAGGGTGCCCCCCAAGTGATTTTATCAAAGGCTAGGCACCCCAAAATCCGAATTGGGGTACCTCACCACGCATCCCAACATTTGGGACGCGGCTCCAACCTGGACCCACGTTTCTCAACCATGAAAACGCGGCTCCAGCTTGTGGAACCACGAATCCAACTTGTGGAATCGCGGTTCCACTAGTGGGGGCGCTTCCAGGCCCACTTTGAGGGTTCCTCACGTCCCCACCTTGACTGTGGGCGACTTGAGCACCCAATTGGGCACCCCAAGTCTCTTGGGTGCCATTCTCCTCACCTGGACCAGCCCAAGTCGCCCACACTTCTCCATCTCTCTCTTCACCACAATCTGGGCCTACTTAGCCCAATATCTTTGTCATCTTTATTTACCCTTTTGTCTTACACTTTCTGGGACTCCTCTTGGAACATATCTTTACCATCTCCAACTTGTGCATCTTCCAGCTATGCACATCGAGTCTACTTTTCTACACGTTTGATCTTCTTGAGGAGCACAAAAGAAAGGCGCATTCAGCAATCAGATCCACCCGCTTGTCCAGCAGAGCTTCCTCCACTGCCCCACCAGAGTCTTGTCTATGTTATGTTTTGCATGCGCTTGTTGAGCAACGACAAAGGAAGAGAATACTAAGAGAATACTAAGAGAATAAGAAGAGAATACTAGGAGAATAAGAAGAGAACACTAAGAGAATACTAAGAGAATAAGAAGAGAATACTAAGAGAATACTAAGAGAATAAGAAGAGAATACTAAGAGAATACTAAAAGAATAGCAGAGAATACTAAGAGAATACCATTCACGTGTAGCGGCAGCACAGCGTCAAAGGCTTGAAACACTGCTCGTGCTCATCCTGCTCTCATGCTGTCCATTCAGCAATCAGCTCCACCCACGAGTCAACCAGTGGCTCAAGAAGTCTAGATTGAGGCACCTCAACTTTCTCCACCCACGTGTCCAGCAATGCCTCAAGAAGAGAAGAGCATACTCACGTTCAACAGAAGCAGAGAATCGATGGTCTGGAACACCGCCTCGTCCTCATCCTCCTCCCAAGCCGTCCACTCTGCAATCAGCTCCACCCACTTGTCCAACAGGGGCACCACCTGCCACTGCCCCACCAGCACCACTGCATCCGCTGCTGCAGCACCAGCTGTAGCAGCAGCGGTTGTAGCAGCAGCAGCGGTTGTAGCAGCAGCGGTTGTAGCAGCAGGGACGGAGGAGGAGGATGAGGAGGGAACGTTGGCAGCGGCTTTGAGCACGAAGGAGAGCAGCAGAGAGGCGTCGAACCACGAGGTGGGGGGCGGCTCCTTGTCCTCCCCTTGCTCTGATGCTGGTGCGACTGATGGCTGGGTCTTCAAGAGGGATGGATCTACCTGAGGGTGGGGGGAGGGGGAGGGGGAGGGGATGGGAGGGGAGGGAGGGGAGAGAAGAACAGGGAACGGGGGGTTCGGAGAAGGAAGGAGAGCAGCAGAGAGGTGTCGAACCATGAGGGGGGGGGTGGCTCCTTGCCCTCCTCGCTGCCTTGCTCCTTGTAGCTGCCAGTGCTGATGCTGCGAGTGATGGATCGACCTGATGGGGGGGGGGGGAGAACAAGGAAGTGAGTGGCTGTTAGGTGCGGAATACTGGTAGGTAGAAGAGGTGAGGAAAGCGCTGCTGGAGGAATGCTGAAAGGCGGTGAGGAGCAAGTTCTGAGGAGCAAGTTCTGAGGAGCAAGTTCTGAGGAGCAAGTTCTGAGGAGGCAAGTTCTGAGGGGCACGTTCTGAGAGCGTTGAGCAAGTTCTGAGGAGCAAGGTTTCTGAGGAGCACGTTCTGAGGAGCAAGTTCTGAGGAGCAAGTTCTGAGGAGCAGTTCTGAGACGTTCTGAGGAGCAAGTTCTGAGGAGCAGTTGAGGGCAAGTTCTGAGGAGCACGTTCTGAGGCAGTCTGAGGAGCACGTTCTGAGGAGCACGTTCTGAGGAGCACGTTTCTGAGGAGCACGTTCTGAGGAGCAAGTTCTGAGGAGCCAGCGTTCTGAGGAGCAAGTTCTGAGAGGAGCAAGTTCTGAGGAGCAAAGTTCTGAGGAGCAAGTTCTGAGGGAGCAAAGTTCTGAGGAGCACGTTCTGAGGAGAAAGCAAGTTCTGAGGAGCACGTTCTGAGAGAGCGAGACGTTCTGAGGGAGCGAGCACGTTCTGAGGAGCAAGTTCTGAAGGAGAGCACGTTCTGAAGGGAGAGCAATGTTCTGAGGAGGCACGTTCTGAGGAGCAAGTTCTGAGGAGCAGTTCTGAGGAGCGAGAGGTTCTGAGGAGCAAGTTCTGAACGTGAGGAGCAAGTTCTGAGGAGCAAGTTCTGAAGGAGGCACGTTCTGAGGAGCAAGTTCTGAGGAGCAGAGTTCTGAGGAAGTCTGAGGAGCAGTTCTGAGGAGCAGTTTGAGGAGCAAGTTCTGAGGAGCAAGTTCTCTGAGGAGCAAGTTCTGAGGAGCAAGTTCTGAGGAGCAAGTTCTGAGGAGCACGTTCTGAGGAGGCACGTTCTGAGGAGCACGTTCTGAGCTGAGGCAGTTCTGAGGAGCACGTTCTGAGGAGCAGTTCGAGGAGCAAGTTCTGAGGAGCAAGTTCTGAGGAGCAAGTTCTGAGGAGCACGTTTCTGAGGAGCAAGTTCTGAGGACAAGTTCGAGGACACGTTCTGAGGAGCAAGTTCTGAGGAGCAGTTCTGAGGGCACGTTCTGAGGAGCAAGTTCTGAGGAGCAGTTCTGAGGAGCAAGTTTCTGAGGAGCAAGTTCTGGGAGAGTTCTGGGAGCACGTTCTGAGGAGCAGTTCTGAGGAGGCAGTTCTGAGGAGAGATTCTGGGAGCACCTGAGCAGTTCTGAGGAGCACGTTCTGAGGAGCAGATGTCTGAGGAGGCAAGTTCTGAGCAGTCTGAGGCAGCAAGTTCTGAGGAGCAGTTCTGGGAGCACGTTTGAGGAGCAGTCTGAGGAGCAGTTCTGAGGAGCAGTTCTGAGGAGCACGTTCTGAGGAGCATTTACACGTTTAAATTTTGAGCACGTTCCTGAGGAGCACGTTCTGAGGAGCAAGTTCTGAGGAGCAAGTTTCTGAGGAGCAAGTTTCAAGTTCTGAGGAGCACGTTCTGAGGGGAGAGCAAGTTCTGAGGAGCAAGTTCTGAGGAGCAGTTCTGAGGAGCACGTTCTGAGGAAGCACAGTTCTGAGGAGCAAAGTTCTGAGGACGCAAGTTCTGAGGAGCACAAGTTCTGAGGAGCACAGTTCTGAGGAGCAAGTTCTGAGGAGCAAGTTTCTGAGGAGCAAGTTCTGAGGAGCACGTTCTGAGGAGCAAGTTCTGAGGAGCAAAGTTCTGAGGAGCAAGTTCTGAGGAGCAAGTTCTGAGGAGCCACGTTCTGAGGGAAGTCAAGTTCTGAGGAGCAAGTTCTGAGAGCACGTTCTGAGGTAGGACATTCTGAGGAGCACGTTCTGAGGAAGCAACGTTCTGAGGAGCAAGTTCTGAGGAGCACGTTCTGAGGAGCAAGTTCTGAGGAGCACGTTCTGAGGAGCAAGTTCTGAGGAGCAGTTCTGAGGAGCAAGTTCTGAGGAGCAAGTTCTGAGGAGCAAGTTCTGAGGAGCACAGTTCTGAGGAGCAAGTCTGGGACAATCTGAGAGCAGTTCTGAGAGCACGTTCTGAGGAGCAAGTTCTGAGGAGCAAGTTCTGAGGAGCAGTTCTGAGGAGCAAGTTCTGAGGAGCACGTTCTGAGGAGCACGTTCTGAGGAGCACGTTCTGAGGAGCAAGTTCTGAGGAGCAGGACTTCTGAGGAGCACGTTCTGAGGAGCACGTTCTGAGGAGCACGTTCTGAGGAGCAAGTTCTGAGGAGCAAGTTCTGAGGAGCACGTTCTGAGGAGCAAGTTCTGAGGAGCACGTTCTGAGGAGCACGTTCTGAGGAGCAAGTTCTGAGGAGCAAGTTCTGAGGAGCACGTTCTGAGGAGCAAGTTCTGAGGAGCACGTTCTGAGGAGCAAGTTCTGAGGAGCAAGTTCTGAGGAGCACGTTCTGAGGAGAGGAGCAAGTTCTGAGGAGCAGTTCTGAGGAGCACGTTCTGAGGAGCAAGTTCTGAGGAAGCACGTTCTGGAAGGATTCTGAGAGCAAGTTCTGAGGAGCACGTTCTGAGGAGCACGTTCTGAGGAGGAGCAAGTTCTGAGGAGCAAGTTCTGAGGAGCAAGTTCTGAGGAGCACACGTTCTGAGGAGCAAGTTCTGAGGAGAGCAAGTTCTGAGGAGCAAGTTCTGAGGAGCACGTTCTGAGGAGCAAGTTCTGAGGAGCACGTTCTGAGGAGCAGTTCTGAGGAGCAAGTTCTGAGGAGCAAGTTCTGAGGAGCAAGTTCTGAGGAGCACGTTCTGAGGAGCAAGTTCTGAGGAGCAGTTCTGAGGAGCACGTTCTGAGGAGCAAGTTCTGAGGAGCAAGTTCTGAGGAGCACGTTCTGAGGAGCACGTTCTGAGGAGCACGTTCTGAGGAGCAAGTTCTGAGGAGCAAGTTCTGAGGAGCAAGTTCTGAGGAGCAAGTTCTGAGGAGCACGTTCTGAGGAGCAAGTTCTGAGGAGCAGTTCTGAGGAGCACGTTCTGAGGAGCACGTTCTGAGGAGCACGTTCTGAGGAGCAAGTTCTGAGGAGCAAGTTCTGAGGAGCACGTTCTGAGGAGCAAGTTCTGAGGAGCAAGTTCTGAGGAGCACGTTCTGAGGAGCAAGTTCTGAGGAGCACGTTCTGAGGAGCAAGTTCTGAGGAGCACGTTCTGAGGAGCAAGTTCTGAGGAGCAAGTTCTGAGGAGCAAGTTCTGAGGAGCACGTTCTGAGGAGCAAGTTCTGAGGAGCAAGTTCTGAGGAGCACGTTCTGAGGAGCACGTTCTGAGGAGCAAGTTCTGAGGAGCACGTTCTGAGGAGCAAGTTCTGAGGAGCAAGTTCTGAGGAGCACGTTCTGAGGAGCACGTTCTGAGGAGCAAGTTCTGAGGAGCAGTTCTGAGGAGCAAGTTCTGAGGAGCACGTTCTGAGGAGCACGTTCTGAGGAGCAAGTTCTGAGGAGCACGTTCTGAGGAGCACGTTCTGAGGAGCACGTTCTGAGGAGCAAGTTCTGAGGAGCAAGTTCTGAGGAGCAAGTTCTGAGGAGCAAGTTCTGAGGAGCAAGTTCTGAGGAGCACGTTCTGAGGAGCAAGTTCTGAGGAGCAAGTTCTGAGGAGCACGTTCTGAGGAGCACGTTCTGAGGAGCAAGTTCTGAGGAGCAGTTCTGAGGAGCACGTTCTGAGGAGCACGTTCTGAGGAGCACGTTCTGAGGAGCAAGTTCTGAGGAGCACGTTCTGAGGAGCAAGTTCTGAGGAGCAAGTTCTGAGGAGCAAGTTCTGAGGAGCACGTTCTGAGGAGCAAGTTCTGAGGAGCAAGTTCTGAGGAGCACGTTCTGAGGAGCAAGTTCTGAGGAGCAAGTTCTGAGGAGCAAGTTCTGAGGAGCAAGTTCTGAGGAGCAAGTTCTGAGGAGCACGTTCTGAGGAGCAAGTTCTGAGGAGCAAGTTCTGAGGAGCACGTTCTGAGGAGCACGTTCTGAGGAGCAAGTTCTGAGGAGCACGTTCTGAGGAGCAAGTTCTGAGGAGCACGTTCTGAGGAGCACGTTCTGAGGAGCAAGTTCTGAGGAGCACGTTCTGAGGAGCACGTTCTGAGGAGCACGTTCTGAGGAGCAAGTTCTGAGGAGCAAGTTCTGAGGAGCAAGTTCTGAGGAGCAAGTTCTGAGGAGCAAGTTCTGAGGAGCACGTTCTGAGGAGCAAGTTCTGAGGAGCAAGTTCTGAGGAGCAAGTTCTGAGGAGCACGTTCTGGAGGAGCAACGTTCTGAGGAGCACGTTCTGAGGAGCAAGTTCTGAGGAGCACGTTCTGAGGAGCACGTTCTGAGGAGCAACGTTCTGAGGAGCACGTTCTGAGGAAGGAAGCACGTTCTGAGGAGCACGTTCTGAGGAGCAAGTTCTGAGGAGCAAGTTCTGAGGAGCAAGTTCTGAGGAGCACGTTCTGAGGTGTCTGAGAGCAACGAGAAAGGAGCTAAGGTGAAAGAGGGAGGAGTGGAGGAAGGCAGAGAAGAGTGCACAGCGAGGAAGGCGATCAGCTTCTTTTGAGGGCAAGAGGCGGAGAGAGTGAGGAGGATGCCGAGCACGGGCCGGCGCCGGTGGTGACCCTGGCGGAGCCCCTGCCGATACTGGTATCGGTATCGGTATCGGTATCGGTATCGGTATCGGTATCGGTATCGGTGTGAGCACCAGAAGTGCATGCAAAAGTTCCAGTGGCGGAGAGGTGACCCTGGCAGAGCCCCTGTTGATACTGGCATCGGCACCGGGAGTGAGGTGGCTTTTGAGTCAACTAGGTAAAAGCACCGGCACCAGTATCGGGAGTGAGGTAACTTTTGAGTCAACTAGATAAAAGCACTGGCACCAGTACCGGGAGTGAGGTGACTTTTGAGTGCAAAACGTACCGGGACTGATATAAAAGTAATGGTACCACCAGTACCGGGAGTGCATGTGAAAGTTCCAGTGGTGGCGGTGACCCTGGCCGCCTTGCGCACCTTTCGCCTGTGTTAGAACCTGGAAGTCAGTGGTACATTAACCGCTCATGAAAAAACCACTCACCGGTTCACGATCCAACAAAAAAGCTTAACCACAAAAACTCACTCGCTGGCTCTTTCAGCTAATGCTACTCTGAGCACTCGAGCAACAGATGGTGCCACCTGCACTGCCTTATGGCAGCAATGGCATCAGGTGATGGTGGAAAAAAGGACAGGAGAATTCACTGAACACTCACCGGCTCATTCAGCCATGCCACTCTGAGCACCCGCGCCACAGACGCTGCCACTTCCACCGCCCTCCGATTCCGCTCCTCCGTCCCTGCTCCCTCCCTCCCCTCCCTCTCCTCGCCTTCCTCCACCTCCTCCTCGTCCTCTCCCCCTGGCAGCTCGTCATCGGCCCATGACTCGACCAGAGACGGCCAGCGCTGAGAAGAGCGCCCACACACGCTGAGTGAGGAAAGGAGGAACAGGGGGGGGGGGGGCAATGGCGGGGAATGGGGGGAATGGGGGGGAATGGGGGGGATGGGGGGGAATGGGGGGGAATGGGGGGGGAAATGGGGGGCAATGGCGGGGAATGGGGGGGAATGGGGGGGAATGGGGGGGAATGGGGGGAATGGGGGGGAATGGGGGGGAATGGGGGGGAATGGGGGGAATGGGGGGAATGGGGGGGAATGGGGGGAATGGGGGGGAATGGGGGGGGAAGGGAGAGGACTATCAAAAGGCAGCAGGCCCTCCCCTGGCAGCTCGTCATCGGCCCACGACTCGACCAGAGAGACCAGGGCAGAGAAGAGCGCCCATGCGTGCTGAGGGAGGAATGGAGGAACAGGGGGGAGGGAGGGTGGGAATGAGGGGGGGAGGGCGTGGACTGTGGACCATCAAAGGGCAGCGGTCCCTTCCCCTGGCAGCTGTTTGGGTCGACTCAAAACTTCCCCCTGGCACACACGAGAAAACCGTAACTGTTTTGAGGAGGCAGAGCAAAACAGGCATCAATAGCCTCTATTTCTGAGGTGCCTCAAGCAGAGGAGGCAGAGCAGAACAGGTGTCAACAGCCTCCATATTTGAGGCGCCTCAAAAAGAGGAGGCAGAGCAAATCAGGTGTCATTAGCCATTGCAGCGATAATAGCTGGCAGGCCCTTCCTGCAGCGGGTGTGCACGCCCTTCCCCCCCCCCCACTGCCACTGACTCTAGATGGTCCAGAGCCCTCACTGCCAGCCGCTGACTCCTGAACGTCCAGAGCCCTCACTGCCTCCCCTCATATGCCACCTGGGTCGGTGTATCGTACCTACCTATCACCTGTCTGCACATGCGACCCTGTGTCTGCCTGTTACTGATTCGTTTGTACCTCCGACCAGGGCTCGTCTTGGAGGTGGCAGAGCAACGCACGTGTCATTCGCCACAGTGTCGATTACAGCTGGCAAGTGGGTATGCGCACGCCCTTCCCCCCTTCCCCCCTCTCCACCTCCCCCTCCCCCCTCCCCCCTTGCCCCCTCCCCCCTCCCCCCCTTCCCCCTCCCCCTCCCCCCTCCCCCCTTCCCCCTTCCCCCCCCCTTCCCCCCTTCCCCTTTCCCCTCCCCCCCCCTCCCCCCTCCCCCCCCCCCCCCTCCCCCTCCCCCCCCTCCCCCCTCCCCCCCTCCCCCCCTCCCCCCTCCCCTCCTCCCCCCTTCCCCCCTCCCCCCCTCCCCCCCTCCCCCCCCCCTCCCCCCCTTCCCCCTTCCCCCCTTCCACCGCAGCGCAGCGCACGCCCTTCACCCCTCTACCGCCACTGTCCTTTGAGTCAACTCAAAAGTCACCCTTCCCCCCTCCACCGCCACTGTCTCCAACAGGTCAAGAGCCCTCACTGCCTCCCCCTCCTCTGCGGCCCTGTACATACCTGCTACCTATAACTCTCAATGGTGGGCTCCCATCCCGTGACACCCATGAGTCATGACAGTTGGACTCGTACCTGCGACCACGGCTGGTCTTGAGGCAGCAGGGCAACGCACATGTCATTGGCCACAGCGTCAATAGTAGTTGGCAGGTGCACGTGCACGTGCATGCCCTCCCCCCCTTCCACTGCCACTGACTCCAACAGGTCAAGTCAAGAGCCCTCACTGGCGCGAAGGGACAGACGCCACTCTCCTGCTGCAACCGCACCAGCTCTGCAGCACTGTAGCCACCTGATTCCTACCTGAGACCAGGGCTGGTCTTGGGGTGGCAGAGCAGCACACGTGTCATTGGCCACCGCATCAATAATGGCTGGCAGGTGCACGTGCACGCCCTCCCCCCCCTCCACCGCCACTGACTCCAACAGGTCCAGAGCCCTCACTGCCTCGCTCTCCTCTGCTGCCCTTGTTGCTGCTACTATGGCTTGAAGAAACGCCAGCCAATCGGATGGCTCCACGTCATTCTGGATGAGAGAGGGATGGAGGGATGGAGGGATGGAGGTACACGCGAGGAAGGGAAGGGAGGAAAGGTTGCATTGCATGTCGTTCTGGAGCCGTCTGATCGGCTCCATGTCGTTCTAGTGATTTATGATCTGATTTTGACTTTTACAAAGGTCGTAACCAAGGTACAGTACAGGGAACAAAAAATGAGGACGTAAAATGAGGACTTCGAGGCGCGTCAGAACGAAACAAAGGGAATAACGACGAGGGATGCGTGGCAGTGACCTGGATAAGAAAGGATCTGACTTGGATGAAGAGGGAGCTGACCTGGATACCAAAGAAGCTGACCTGGATAAGAAAGTAGCTGACCTGGATGAAGTAGGAGACGGCATGAGAGGCCGCAGTGCGCACCACGGCCCACGACTGCCCGTCCACGTCCCCCGCTGCCATGGCCTTCATGGTCGCCCCGTACACAGGGGCGTGCAGGGACTGGCGGGGAGGGGAGGGGACGGGAGGAGGGAAACGGGCGGGGAGGAAGAGTAAGGTTGACTGTTGACAGCCCCCGCTGCCATGGCCTTCATGGTCGCCCCGTACACAGGGGCGTGCAGGGACTGGCGGGGAGGGGGAGGGGACGGGAGGAGGGAAACGGGCGGGGAGGAAGAGTAAGGTTGACTGTTGACAGCCCCCGCTGCCATGGCCTTCATGGTCGCCCCGTACACAGGGGCGTGCAGAGACTGACGGAGAAGGGGCAGAGAGGAGGGGCGGAGGGGGGGGAAGTGAGGTAAGGAACAAAGATTGCCTGTCCACGTCCCCGCTGCCAAGGCCTTCATGCTCGCTTGGTAGACAGGAGCGTGCAGAGACTGACTGACGGGAATGTGAGGGAAATTGGAGAAGAGAACAAACACGACTGCAATACGAAGGCGGTGCAAGGTAAGGGAGGGAACGAAGGGAAGTGGACGGCCCGAGGACAAACAGCCGAAATCACTTCCACAGAACATGCACCCTTTCCTATCCAAGTAAGAGTTGGTTGAGGTATCTACCCAAATGCGCCCTGAGGCATCATTCGGATCATTGAACCGCCCTGAGGCAGCACTCCGGCATCATCCAGCATGGAAACTGAACTGAATACCTAATGAAGGTTGTACCACCATGCACCCGTAATTGACATCCAGGTGAGTAGTTTTTGAGTACAGGGTACACTAAACTGCCACGTCGGTCGGACCGACAAGGGACCCAAACTCACTAACTGGTGACCCTGGACTGGATTGGACTGGACTGGACTGGAGGAGTCCTGGGCGTCTCACGACACAGACGATATGATATGATACGATATGATCCTTTGATGCACGATAAAATCTCTGAGCTGGATTATTATCATCGGACAGTCCTCACCTCTGGCAGGGCGGCAGAGAGCTCTCCCAGCAGCCACGTGGCAGAGGCCAGTAGGACGGCGCTGACGTGGCGCTGCGCGAAGAGAGACAGAACGCGCACTGGCAGCAGTTGCTCCAGCTGACTGGGCTGCCGCTCAAAGTACTACCGGAGGGAAGGGAGGGGAGGGAGGGGGCAGGGGGGAAGGTGGGGTAGGTTTCACGCGCTGGTAGCGACCTGGCTGGCAGTACTGAGGAAGGGAGGGGGGGGGAGGGGGCATTGGAGGAGAGGATGAGAAACTAAGGGAGAGGAGAAACGATGGGATCCGGAGAGGAGAATGGGCGTTCGGGGAAAAGCAAGACGAGGCTAGATAGAAGGGTGCACCCCTTTCATGGCAGCATATGCTTGCAGGGCAGTTTTGAGACGCCTCAAAGGTTGCTCAAAACGAGGCTGGACTGGACTGGAGGAGAAAGAGGGTGCACCTCTTTCATGGCAGCATACGCTTGCAGGACGCCAAAGTAGCTGCCATGCCATGGGGTGGGATCGCACCACATGAGGAGCACACAGGTTGGCGAAGGGAGAACGGGAGGGGGGGGAGGAAAGGGGAGGCACAGAAGGGATGGATACTCCGTTCATGGGAGCATGTGCTTGCAGTGCAGGGCACCGAAGTAGCTGCCGTGGGTCGGCAGATAGGCACACACGAGCACATGGTAAGACGGGTGGAGGGGGGGTGAGCGAGACATAGAGGAAGAGCATGATACTCCTTTCATAGTAGCAGCACGTGCTTGTAACGCAGTGAGATGAGCACAGGAGCACAGACGGAGCCAAAGGAGGGGGAGCGAGGCACAGAAGGTCTACGTTGTCACAGGAGAGAGGCACAGGAGAGAACAAGGGAGGGATGGGAGGATGGAAAAGGACCCCAAGCCAAGCCAAACTCACTGGACGACAGCAGCACTGGCTGCATCCGCAGGAGCCAGCCGCCCCCCTTCCCCCGGCGCAAACATGCCGTCCAACGGGACTGCAGCATCGGCCGGTACGGCAAACCTAGACAGGTAAGGAAACACCGCAGGGAATGCTGAAACACGTCAGTCCCTTTTGTGTCGCAGGGAAGTTGAACAAACGCAATCTCTCATTCTTACAAAAAAGACACCTGGAAAAGGCAGGCGGCTGTTTGCTTGAAAGGAGCAATGGAACCCATAGCATAGCAGTCCGTGGGGATGAGTATGGCATATTGACAAAAAACACCTGGAGAGGAAAGGAAGCATGCCAGTGGCAGCTGCTGCATCCGTATCCTTATTAGCGGCCGGCCTTCTTCGTCCCCCTCCTACCTGTGTCCTCAGTCTCTTTCAATCTTCCAACAAATCAACAAAACACACCTGGAGAGGAAAGGAAGCACCACAGTGGCAGCTGCTGCATCCGTGTCCTTAGTGGCGGCCGGCCGTCTCTGTCTCCTTCTGCCTGCTGCTGGTGAAGTCGACTTGGAGGGTGCGGCTGCTGCTCCCGGCTTGCCCTTGGCTGGGCTGCCCTGTTGAGGGGCGGTGGGGGGAAGGGGGGGGGAGGTGGGGACGAGGGAGGGGTTGAGGGGGGAGGGAAGGGGGGATGAATGAAGGTGAAGTGGGGGCACTAGGAGATGAAAAGAAGCTGCTGCTTCTGGCGTGCCCTTGTTCCGTGTGACAGTGTGTGTGTGTGCGCGCATAAGCATGGTGTGTGTGTGTTCATGTGGGCTCCCAAAGGCATTACCTTGGGAGCAGCAATGAGTGCCAGTAGGTGAATGTGTTGCACGCATGCATGCTCGTGTGTGTTCCCAGTGAATGTGTGCGTGCCTGCGCAACAGTACGCGCGCCTGCGCATCAGTACCTTGGAAGTGGCAATGAGCGCCAGCAGGTGAGCAGCACACTGCCGTGGATCATAGCTGTCAATCTCATCCAAGTCATCCTGCTCGTGCCCAGGGTGGAGGGGGGGGGGGGGGGGGGTGGGGGAGGGAGGTGGTGGGGAAGGAAGAGCGAGAGAAATAGAAAGAGAATGATAGGAAGATTCAAGGTGTGTTACTACTAGTGGTATCAAAATCGTTGACGCTGCTGCTGACACATGGAATGTGCTAAACAAAAACACCCCTTTTTGAATGCAGTAGTTAAAAAAAAATGTATAAATATAATATTCTATAAGAATAACGCCACTCACTAAATCTGTGGGTAGATTCCGTAGTACATACTCCTCCTCGTCCTCATCCCACAGCTCCAAATCCTGCCGCCCGAAGGCATGTGAGAAGGAAGAATAAAAGGGGAATCCTTTTTCTTAGGAGTCAACTTACCCTGAGTGCTGAAACTAGGAATGACTCACGTGGGGTGGGGTGGGGGTGCAGTGCAGAGCAGGGTGCGTGACTGACAGGCTCAAGCAGATGGAATGTACACAATTGTGCTCATGAGGTCTTGAGATCCTCATGCTCATGAGGACTCACGTGGGGGCGCAGGCAAAGCACGGGGAAGATGGCCGACTCAAGCAGATGGGCGAAGTTGGGAGCCACCACCTTCCAACCCTGCAGGCACGGAAGGATTTGTGTGATAGACATTTAGATTTGAGACGTCTGAAAGCCGACTCAAGCAGATGAGAGAAGTTGGGAGCCACCACCTTCCAACCCTGCAGGCACGGAGGCATTTGTGTGATAGACATTTAGATTTGAGACGTCTGAAAGCCGACTCAAGCAGATGAGAGAAGTTGGGAGCCACCACCTTCCAACCCTGCAGGCACGGAGGCATTTGTGTGATAGACATTTAGATTTGAGACGTCTGAAAGCCGACTCAAGCAGATGGGCGAAGTTGGGAGCCACCACCTTCCAACCCTGCAGGCACGGAGGCATTTGTGTGATAGACATTTAGATTTGAGACGTCTGAAAGCCGACTCAAGCAGATGGGCGAAGTTGGGAGCCACCACCTTCCAACCCTGCAGGCACGGAGGCATTTGTGTGATAGACATTTAGATTTGAGACGTCTGAAAGCCGACTCAAGCAGATGAGAGAAGTTGGGAGCCACCACCTTCCAACCCTGCAGGCACGGAGGCATTTGTGTGATAGACATTTAGATTTGAGACGTCTGAAAGCCGACTCAAGCAGATGGGCGAAGTTGGGAGCCACCACCTTCCAGTCCTGCAGGCACGAGGCATAGGGCGTAGAGAAAGGTTACTGAGAAGGCACCACCTTCGGCGCACGTGATTTGAGTCTTGACAATGGTGCAGCATGCATGCGACGCAATGGTGCAGCATGCACGAGAGACAGCCATCTTCTTGGGGGCGCCTCAAAGGCCACCAATCACAGATAGCATCGAACGAAGCTTTCAATACCTCTTCAACACTGGAGTGATGTTAGCCATGATAGAAGGGAGCAGCAGTGTCTAGTTTTGAGGCGCCTCAAAACGAAGCTTTCAATGCCTCTTCAACACTGGAGTGAGGGCAGACCAGGGCGGGGTCTGGTTTTGAGTTGACTCAAAGCAACGGCATGCACAGAAAAGCACCAAAGCTTCAATACTGCTTCAACACTCATCGCATAAGGACTGACCGGAGCGGAGCGGGTCTGCTTTTGAGTAGACTCAAAACCAGCGGCAAGCACAGAAAATCACGGAAGCTTCAATACTGCTTCAACACTCATCGCATAAGGACTGACCGGAGCGGAGTCGAGCACTTGCGAGAAGACGTTGAAAGCAACGGCGGGTAACGATATAAGGCTTGCAGGCATGCATGCACGTGTGAGGACTGACCGGAGCGGAGTCGAGCACTTGCGAGATGGCGTTGAAAGCAACGGTGGTAACGATATAAGGCTTGCAGGCATGCATGCACGTGTGAGGACTGACCGGAGCGGAGTCGAGCACTTGCGAGATGGCGTTGAAAGCAACCGCGGCAACACGACGGGCAGCTGAAGAGGGCTGGAGAGGCGGGGTGAAGGGGCACGGGGGACGGGGGGGTGAAGGAGTGAGAACGCAACAGTGGCTGCATACACGACGGGCAGCTGGCAAGAGGTGGAGATGAGGGATGAAGGGGGAGGGGGGAAAGGGGGAAAGGGGAGGGGGAAGGGGGGAAAGGGGAGTGGGAAGGGGGGAAGGGGGGAATGGGGAAGGGGGGAAGGGATGAAGGGATAAAGAAGGTCTCCGGATGCGAAAATAACAGGAATGGTGACAAGAACCAACACAGAAAGCCTTTTTACATCGTCTGTTATAAACACCAATCACTGGCATTGCAAGCAGCATCAAAGCAGAATTTTCGTAATATAAAAAGAAGATATCTAAAAGAAAACCAGAGAAAACAAAACAGCATTGTAACAGTAACACTGGAGCCCAGAAAGCTCCATCTACGTGTCATCACCTTATTGGTCCACAGAGAATTGCAGACGATGCCCATGATGGAGTCTACCATGGCGGGAAAGTGCCTGGAAAGAGCACACAGCAATGTGGGAGGTGCCGAGAAAATGGAAAATGAGGAGGAAGGGAAAGGGAAAGGGAAAGGGGAAAGGGAAAGTGAAAGGGGAAAGGGAAAGGGAAGGGGAAAGGGAAAGGGAAAGGGGAAAGGGAAGGGAAAGGGAAAGGGAAAGGGAAGGGGGTTGGGTTCGTTGAGGGCGAAGGAGGAGCAGAGGCAGTTTCGGAGACGCCCCCAAAAAAGGAGGGGGTGGGTGGAAAGAGGGCAGAGGAAGACCACAGGCAGGAAAAAGAGGTCTGGGAAGATTCTTGATGTGCCTCGGAAATTTTCTACATCTGCAAACACTCCTACATAATCAGATTATTATGAGTTAAATGATTGAAAACCCTTCCCTGCTGGACGGGAAGGAACACGGTACTCACTTATTCGCCAGCTTCTGGTGCCGGCTCGCCAGCGCTTGGCAGATCTGCAGCGCTCTCTTGCTCGCCTTCAGCCGCACCTCCCACACCACAGCCCCCCCCTCCGCCGACCCCCCTCCCCCCTCCATGCCCTCCTGAGCGGCGGCAGCAGCAGCAGCAGCTGCAGCAGCTAGGGTTGCCGGGCAGTGCGATAGCAGAAGCAGCAGCTCAGGGACGATGGCATCGAGATTCTTGCGAATGGCGGCTGGCATGTGGCTCTGCACCTGCAATAGTTGAATAAGAAGGGGAATAGGGGAGGCAGGTGGTGCTTGGAGGGCAGCAAGCAGGATACTGTCGATGCTCGCTTGACGGAGGGGCGGATTCAGGCAAGGGTGGATGGAGGGGGGATTCAGGCAAGGGTGGATGGAGGGGGGATTCGGGCAAGCCAGGGTGGATTACCGAGAGGTGGAGGGTCTTGAGGATGAGCAGGAGGGCTTCATCGTGGGGCGACGGTGCTTGAGGGCTCGACAGTTTTCGAGTCGACTTGAAAGCATGTAGCCTGTGTTTGTTTTTTTCAGAATTCTCAAAAGGTCTGTGTGTGTAGTCCAACTCACCGAGAGGTGGAGGGTCTTGAGGATGAGCAGGAGGGCTTCGTCGTGAGGTGATGGTGCTTGAGGGCTTGACAGCTGCGCCTGCAGCATCGAGACAGCACTCACACGCAGAGGGAGGTAGGAGAGGAACCCTGTGCATGCTGCAGGAATGACGTGTAAGGGATGAGGCGAGTGGCAGCAGGTTGTATATTCGACGCACATTTCATTGCATTCAGAAACGTGTCGTGGGTGAGACGGTCACCTGAGCCGTTATAAGATCGTGCATGAGACGGTCACCTGAGCCGTTATAAGATCGTGCATGAAACGGTCACCTGAGCCGTTATAAGATCGTGCATGAGACGGTCACCTGAGCCGTTATAAGATCGTGCATGAGACGGTCACCTGAGCCGTTACAAGATCGTGCATGAAACGGTCACCTGAGCCGTTATAAGATCGTGCATGAGACGGTCACCTGAGCCGTTATAAGATCGTGCATGAGACGGTCACCTGAGCCGTTATAAGATCGTGCATGAGACGGTCACCTGAGCCGTTATAAGATCGTGCATGAGACGGTCACCTGAGCCGTTATAAGATCCTGCATGAGACGGTCACCTGAGCCGTTATAAGATCCTGCATGAGACGGTCACCTGAGCCGTTATAAGATCCTGCATGAGACGGTCACCTGAGCAATGCCATGCCTGCCCAGCAATCACCTGAGCCGTGATGAGGTGGTGCATGAGCGGCATGAGGGCAGCAGCAGGTCAGAGGAGCAATCGCCTCCAGCACTATCATGCCATGTCTAATAGTCTAGCACACACATCACCTGCCCAAAGAGTCACCTGACCTGAGCCGTGATGAGGTGGTGCATGAGCGGCATGAGCGGCAGCAGCAGGTCAGAGGTGATCGTTTCTAGCACTGGCGGCACGGGCTCCTTCTCCTTGCTGGGGTCCAGGAAGTACTGAAGGGAGGGGGGGAGGGGGGGAAGGTGGGAGGGGGAACAAAGGTGGGAGTAGTGAGGGGGCCTAGAAGGTTAGCAGCACACAATCGGTTCCAGCACTGGCGGCACGGGCTCCTTCTCCTTGCTGGGGTCCAGGAAGTACTGAAGGGAGGGGGGGAGGAGAGGAGGGGGGGAGGAGAGGATAGAGAAAGAAAGAGGTGGACACTCGGGGAGAGGGAGGATTATTGGGTTAAATTTTGAGTCGACTCAAAGATGTCACACGGAACTTTCACTCCACGTAGATACAGGGAGGGAGGGAAGGAGGGAGGGAGGGAGGGAGGGAGGGAGGGAGGCCCATTGGGTTAAGAGGAAGAAGATGAATCTACTATTCTAGAGAGGTCAAAAGCACCCAAGAGCATACCCTGTAGACATGGGCACAAGCCGAGCCACGCCTGGCTCGGCTCGGCTCGGCTCGCCTTTAAGGCGAGCCGAGCCTCCTTTTTTGGTACCTGGCTCGACTCGAGTCGAGCCGGCTCGGCTCGACTCGAGCCGGCGGCTCGGCTCGGCTCGCACACGTGAAATCAGGCGAGCCGGAGTCGAGCCGGCTCGAGCTGGCTCGATTTCGAGCCAGCCGGCTCGCGGCTAGGGAAAGGGGGGTTTCGCGACTGTCAAATTTCAGATCGACAAACCCCCCCCCCCCCGCCAATATTGTCTGCCAACCCAACTTTCACCCTATCGCGCTAGTCTATCGACCTCAGCCAGCCATATTTAAACCGGCAGCTCCTCCTGATAGTTTTGCAAGATGTAGGAGCAGACGATCAGCTAAATAATATGGATTATCCCCTTATACTAGAGACCCCAAGCCCCGTGGCCCCAATTGAGAGCCCGCACAAGCCCCCCTGACGAGCCGAGCCGAGCCGGCTCGCCGGCGAGCCGGCCCTGGCTCGACCCCATTTTCACGAGCCGAGCCGGGGATCCTGAGGACCCGGCTCGAGGCGAGCCGAGCCGGCTCGACCGGCGAGCCGAGCCGGCTCGACCCCAAACGAGCCGAGCCGAGCCAGGCTCGGCTCATGCCCATGTCTAATACCCTGTATGGTCCTGTGACGGCACGAAGGACTGCAAGCACAGTGACTGCATTAACAGCAATCTGGCACTCTACTACACTCCTAATATGTCTCAACATACTCTCTAAGTCAATAACTTGAGTTGACTCAAAAGCAATCTGGCAGTCTACTACACTCCTAAGATGTGTCAACATACCCTGTAAGGCTTAGTGACGGCACGAAGGACTGTAAGCACAGTGACTGTAGAGAATGCTGCAGCAGGATCCGACGGTCCAGGAGCAGCGGAGGCAGAATCAACGGCTCGGATTAGATCACTGGACTGCAGGGCCGCTTTCAGCCCTGGGAGTAGCTGCGGCCAGCCGGAGGGGAAGCCAACTCGGTTCGAACCACCGCAGAGAACTGGGGGGCGGGGGGAGGAGGGGGAAGGGAGGGGAAAGAAAAAAGTTTTAACTTGAGGGGCGAAATCGCACTGCAGTAACACCTCTACCAAATTGCACAGCACCGCGCCACACTACCTCCTGCTCCCCCCCTTCTGTGTAACAACGTTAGCTCCCTCTGCAAGCACGTACCGCTACAGTATCTGTTCTCTCCAGTTCCCCGTAACACTTGCTGCGTCCTGTACTGTGGCTGCATCCTTGATCCATAATAACATACCGCTTCCGTAAGCACGGTCAGGATCTTCCCTGGCGTGCACCGCAGTAGCACCTCCACCAGTTGCACCCGCACCGCCTCCTGCTCCTCCCTCCCCCCTGGCAACTGCACGTGCCCCTTGCTGCCCGCCCCCCGCCACTTGACCACGGCAACGTTCTTGAAATAGAGGGCTGCAGGGAGAGCTGCAGGGGAGCCGGGCACTGGTGGAGGGAGGGGACGGGTGGACGGGGTGGGGTGTTTTGACTCAAAAATGGCCACTTGACCATGCCGACGTTCTTGAAATAGAGCGGTGCGGGAAGAGCTGCAGGGAAACCGGGCACTGGGGGGAGAGCTGCAGGGAAACCGGGCACTGGGGGAGAGCTGCAGGGAAACCGGGCACTGGGGGGAGAGCTGCAGGGAAACCGGGCACTGGGGGGAGAGCTGCAGGGAAACCGGGCACTGGGGGGAGAGCTGCAGGGAAACCGGGCACTGGGGGGAGAGAACACACGAAAGGGGGAAGTGGAAAGATAAGGGCGCTTGAGTCAACGTACAAGCCGCTCCGTGCGAATTGCTCTCTCTCCCCCCCCCCCCATCTGCACCTGCCCCTTGCTGCCCGCCCCACGCCACCTCACCACGGAAATGTTATTGAAATACAAGGGCCCAGGTGTCAAGTTTAGGACCAGGGGACTGCTCACCCCGTTACCACTAGGCAGCACAGGATCCAATGGCGTTGGAGGGGGGATCGGGGGGGGACAGCGAGGAGACGAGAGAGATATCGCCCGGGGAAGGGGGGACAAGAAGAGGAGGGGGAGGTAAGGGAGAGGGGGGGAGGGGAGGGGGGGGGGGGGGGGGTTTGGGGGGGTAGTTTGGGGGGTAGGATTGTGGCGGGGTCGTCCGGAATGGGCCCTAAGCGAATTCGGATTCGTCCGGAAGCCCCCCTCGCCCACTTGGATACACGCCTGGCTCCATATAAACTCGACCCTTTCAAGATCCAGCACTCCTTCATTCTTTACTGGTCCCGGCGGGGTAATTACCCTTTTAAAACAGCCTCTGGCGGGAGGGGAGTTGGGCAGAGGGAGGAGGGAGAGGAAGGGCGGAACGGGGGGGTTGTGACTCCAAAGGTTTGGGGACCAAAGACTGAGAACTGCAAAATTCGAGCCGGGAACCAAAGAATGGGCGATTAGACTGGACGATCCAGATCTCTTTTGCACCGTGCTCGCATTGTACGGCCGAGATTAACTCGCAAGGCTAGGGGTACGCCTTCAGGCGGGAGATGGCGAAAGCGCACGGCGAGAATGAGAATGAGGAGATTAAAATCGTTCCAGATATTTCGGAGACGACGCGACGGGCGAGAATACGAGGAGGCTGACTAGTTCAGAGATCGCAAATCCGAGAATGCGGGGGGTTGCAGCACGTCATTCACCATGATTCTTTCAAAAGTGCTAGATTGCGAATTCGAGAAAACGCGGAGAGAAACAGGGGAGGGAGCATAAAAGTCTGCTTTTTTTAGTCGACTCGAAGGGGGGAGCGTCAACGCCGGACACACCTGCTGCGACGGACAGCACGTGGCCCAGGAACCCGGGTGCTTGGAAGCTTCCTCCAGTGCTGAGCTGGCAGATCTCACGGCGGCCTCGTCAGCACTCGTGGTCTGCAGCAGCCACGCGCTCACCGCGTCCGCCCCTGACGCCGCCATGGCCGTCCGTTATAGTCACGCGGGAGGGGCTGGTATGGGATCCTCTAGGAAACGCGCGAGTTGAGGAGACTAGAGACGTGCGGTGCAGTGATGGGGAATCTGGTTTGGGGGTCTTGGGAAGGGTTGAGGGTATGGGTTTGTCCGTGGTCGGTTCCGAGTGTGCTACGAAATTTTCCGTTATTGGCTAGAACTGCATGAACACCTGGGGATGTGAAAGTATGACTCAAACGAATCATACTAATTCTACCTATTAAATGAATGGTGGCCTCCTCGTTACATTTTGGGTTGAGCCTTTCATGTTAATTATCTAACTCAATCTCCTTCACTCCTCTAAACTACCGTACCGTTGCCTCTTTTGCTTATCGACTTAATAAAAAGTCGCGTTCATTCCTTGGGAATCGTGAATACCGTACCTTGGCTTGCGCAATTTTCCTCTTTCAGAGCAGGCACCAATGGGATCCACTTGTTTTTCTTAAAGCAAGCACAAACTTTGAACCGTCTCCTTACAGATTAAAGCCCCAAACACAAGCTACTACCTTCGTTCTTTGGGTTTTCTTCTTGAACACTGGGGTCTGCACCTTCTCCATATAAAGAGCGAGCTCCAAAGGGATCCACTCATTCAGCCCGATCTCCTCCCTCGTATCCTTCTCCCTCCCCTATTCCCCGAACCCCTTCTCCTCCTCTCGAACCCGCCAGGCTCTGAGCCTCTCCCTTCCCGGTTCTCGATGCCTAGCTGAGAGCAGTATCAACCCCCACTTTTAGCCCGTGCTGTCCTCCCTGCCTTGAATCGTCACCGCGCCTTTAGGCTTGACGAGGAAACTTTCCTGCTCCTTCCCCTCTGCTTCCCGCTCCCATTTCAAGCCCACCGCCCTCCTCTCTGTGATGGTCAGATTCCGCTTTCTTCGTCCTCCTCCCAATCCTCATCTCCATCATCGTCAACATCATTTTCATCCTCCTCATCCTCATCGCCCCTCATCGTCCTCATCGTCCTCCCCTTCCTCTTCCTCTTCATCCTCATCCTCCTCGTCGTCCTCTTCCTCATCCTCATCTCTTCCCACCTCATCCGACCCATCTGAACCCCATGCATCATCAGACCACACCTCCCCACCCTCTTTCCCCTCTCTACCCATCAACCCCCCACCCCCACCATCGTTTCCCCCACTTCCTCCTCCCAACCCCCATCCTTTTCCACCTCCCCACCACATTCTCTCCCCACTCTCTTCCACCAAACCACCTCCCCTGACATCAAGCCTGCTGGCACCACCCGCCCGTGAATCACCTCCCCCAAACCTCATCCTCACGCCCGGCCGAAGCTCGTCCCTCAGGCTCGGCAGCACATGCCCCTCCATGAACTTCCACAGCCTCGTCGCCGTGGCTCCGCCGAACCGAATCAGGTTCGGCGCATCCCACGGACTTTCCAAAGCCACCCTCCCCATCTGCGCCTTCCACCTCAACCTATCCCTCACTCCACTCCCCTCCCCTCCCTCCTCCCCATCCCCTCCCTCCTTTCCCCTCCCCCCTTTTTCAACTTCTTCCCCTTCTTCCTCCCCTCTCTCCAGCACCCGTTGCCCAGGCCGCCGATACCTCATCTTCACCCAACAATCCCTCACCGACACACAAAGCGCCCGCGCAATCCTTCTCAAGTCCCGACTCGAATACTGCTTGGCGTGCAGGATCATCCCCCGGTGTCCTCGCAGCGCCGCCCGCTGTACATGTACCAGTGGGCGAGCGTCTTGGGGGTGAGCCAGCGCTGGATGAGTTTAGGCACCGCGCGGTTGCCCTGCGGGTGGTACCGCTGCGCGTGGTAGCGCAGGGACGTGTGGGGGATGGTGGCAAAGTGACGCACGCGGATGGGATGCACGCCTGCTGCTGCTAGGGGGTCGGAGGCACCAGCAGCAGCAGCAGCAGCAGCAGCAGCAGCAGTGGTAGCAGCGGTGTTAGCAGCAACAGCGGCAGCGGCGGCGGCAGCATCAGGCGACGCACTAGGCGCGGGCGGCATGAGCAGGAGCATGTTTCTGGGCGGCGCACTGGCCCATGGGCCAAACGCCCGGAACAGCGCCTCCAGCAGGTCTACACGGCCAGGATTGTCCAGCGGCTGCTCAAAGTGGATCTCGTACGTCCGTTCGTTGTCCTGCGCAGCAATCCTCGCACCGCCCAGCAGCACCCCTGCAAGCACCTGCCGTTGCTCTTTACTCAGCTTCATGCTCCGGCTCTCGTCCCTCAACACCCTCAGCTTCCCCACTACTGCTTCTGCCGCTTCCCTCGCCGCTCCTACCAACACCATGCCGGGTTTCCTCCCCCGGTCTTTCCTATTCCCCACCATTTCCACATACAGGGAGCGCACAGCTCGGGTGTCGCCTGCTGCTCCGCACGCTGCTATGAGCAGGTTGTAGGTGTGTCCGTCTGCGCCTGTCTCTTTGTTGGAGTTCATTTCCAGGAAGATTCTCTTTGCCATGCCGAGGTTCCCGGCTTTGATGTGCGCTGCCAGGCGCAGGTGGTAGGACGTGCGGTCGGGGATGCACCCCACCTGCGGTAAAGAAGGGAGGGAAGAAAGAGAATTAGGAACAGAGAGGAATGTGTTTGAGGCACCTCAAGATTCTCTTTGCCATGCCGAGGTCCCCAGCTTTGATGTGCGCTGCTGGCGCAGGTGGTGGGACGTGCGGTCTGGGATGCACCCACCTGCAGCAGAGATTATGGGAAAAAAAAAAAAAAAAAAAAAAAAAACTAAACTAAACTTGAAACTGTGTGGGAAGGGGGCTTTGATGTGTGCCACCAGGCGCAGGTGGTAGGAGGCACAATTGGGGAGGCACCCCGCTGCAAGGCACCCCACCTGCAACGGGGACGCGGAAATGGAGAACAGGAGAAATAAGAGAGCAAGCGCTCCATTGTGTGGGAAGAAGGGGGTCTTGGTTCTCTGCTGCCAGGCGCATCAGGTAGGAGGTGTAATCGGGGAGGCACCCCAATTGTGGCAGAGATGGGAAAAGGAGAAAGTGAGAGGAAACCACCAAGCGTGAGGTTGTGTGGAAAAGAGGGCTTTGATCTGATGTGTGCTGCCAGGCGCATGTGCGATTGGAGAGGTGCGATTGGAGAGGTACGATCAGGGAGGTGCGATCAGGGAGGTCCGATCAGGGATGTGCGATCAGGGAGGTGCGATCAGGGAGGTCCGATCAGGGATGTGCGATCAGGGAGGTGCGATCAGGGAGGTCCGATCAGGGATGTGCGATCAGGGAGGTGCGATCAGGGAGGTGCGATCAGGGATGTGCGATCAGGGAGGCCCCCACTTGCAGCAGGGGATGGGAGAATGAGAGGAGGAGAGTAAACAAGAGATGAAGGGAATCTGATGTGTGCCGTTGCTGCAGACGGCAGGACGTGCAATCGGGAAGGCACCCCACCTGCAGCAGTGAAGACACAAGGGGAGCACCTGAGGAGACCTGAGGAACCCCACCGTCTGCTGGTGCCTTCCACACAATGGATCAACAAGAGGAGGCCGTTCAGGCGTGACTGGTGGAGGTACAACAAGTGCAGCAATGGAAGGATGGCAGGACGAAGGAGATGGAGAGAGGGAAGGAAGGAAGGGCGCGCCCACCTCCTTCATGCCTTGGAAGCGCCTCTCGAGGTCATTCAGGCGCGACTGGTGGAGGTACATCTGCAGCAGCGAGTTGAAGGCCGCAGTCAGCGGCCCTCTCTCTGCCCGCAGCATCTCCCGAAAAAACGCCTCTGCCTCCTCCCCCCACCGCGCTGCCTCCTCTCCTCGCCCCTCCGCCGCTGCTTTAGCAGCCGCGCCTGTGAGCGCTGCCAGGTATGCATTGCACGCCCGCAAGCCGGGCAGATTCGCACCAGCGTTAGCGCCTGCTGCTGCTGCTGCTGCTGCTGCTGTCGCCCTGCCCCATTCTCCTCCCTCCCACTCTCCCACCCTTCCTGCACCCATACCGCCCATCCGCCCTTCCCCTTCCTCCTCCTCCCCCCCTTGTAGCACCATGACATGCGGCCATGCACCCATGCTCGCCTCATACCTGCCTGCATGGTTCAGCGTCTCCATATACGCTGCCCACACCCTCTCACCCACCACATACCCCCGGCTCCCTCCTCCCCTCCCCCCCCTCCGCCCCTTCCCCCCCTCCGTGCTCCTCTCCCGCCTCTACAAGTTCTTGCATGGCAGCGGATGCATGGTCCACTAGAGCATCAGCAGGCACTTCCCCTTCCTCCTCGCCCGCCCCTCCATTACCCACTCCTCTCACACCAAACTCGCTGCCCTCTCCCCCCTTCTCCCTGACATCAGCACCCATACTCGCTCCCATGGCTGCAGCACCCGAGTCTGAAGCTACACCTCCCCCTGATCCCACCTTCTCCCTCCTCTTCCGGCTCCTGTATACAGCCCGAGCACACGCAAAAACCACGGCTTCTGTAGCTTGGGGCGGCACCTTTCGTCCCGATGCGGCCAGGTCGTCCCTCATCTGCTGTAACAGGGTTACCACCTTGCTGACGTGGCCCTCCCTGGCATAATGCCGCACCAGCGACGCGTACATGTGGACCAGCGGGCCCGAGCTGCGCTGCTGACGTGGCTGCTGGTTCCTTCCTTTGCTCCTTTCCCTCCTCTCCCTGGTCTCCCTCAGAAGCGCCTCTGCCTTGTGCATGTGCCGCCCACGCCACTTGGGGCTGGAAAAGGCCTGCACAGATGTGCGGGAATGGGGGGAATGGGGGGAATGGGGGGAATGGGGGGGAAGGTGGGGGACTGGGGCTCGCCACTTGCTCAAGATATGACTCTGCCTTGCCCGTGTGCTGCCCTTGCCACCTGGGGCTGTAGGCCTGGAGGAATGGGGGGAATGGGGAGGGGGACGGGGAGGAATGGGGGGGAATGGGGAGGGGGGACGGGGAATTCGAGGCACCTCCAATAATATATATAGACTCTGCCTTCCTCGTGTGCCATCCTGCCAATTGGGGCTTGAAAAGGCCTGGTGAAAACTATGGGCGGGGGGGGAGAAGAGGGAAAGAGAAGGGGTTTCGAGGGGCCATTTATATCGATGCATTTCTATATAATCCCATTGATAACCCTTGACTATGGACTTTGGCCTGACTATCGGTGTGCCGGCCACGCCAATCGGAGCTTGAGAAAGCCTGAAACGAGGGAGAGGAGGGGGGTGGGATTACATGGGGCCGAAAAGTGAGGAATCTGGGCAGTGAGTTGCCCATGCCTATGGGCAGTGGGTTGCCCATGCCCATGGGGCGGTATGTCAAGGAGACCTTGATCCTGCTTCGCCCATATGCATCCCACTCCCCACACTCACCTCGAACATGTGCGTTTTTCGAGAGCTGCTTTCTCAAACGGGTACTTCAGCAGCGCACGCAACCATGCAGGCACGCAGCGTGAGGAGGGAAGCAGAGGGGCTATTGGCATGCACACGTGAGAGAGAGAGAGAGAGAGAGAGAGAGAGAGAGAGAGAGAGAGAGAGAGAGAGAGAGAGAGAGAGAGAGAGAGAGACATATGGCTGCCCATGTGCCGAGGTCCCTACCTTCTTGAAGCTGCTGGCTGACACAGGGGCCAGGAGACTTTTCAATGCGGACCCCAGCTCCTACCAGGCCGCAAAATTGCTCCACCAGTTTCGCCAACGCTGGTCAGTGACGCTGCAGCGGGCACAGGCCCTGGCTTACCTGGGGAAAGTTAATGAAGC